GCTTTCCAGAAAATACAACAAAACGGTGCACCCCAGACCATTCAAAGTTGGGGATTGGGTTTTAAGAAAGGTGATGGGCAACACACTGGTGCCGGGGAAAGGTAAGCTAGGGGCAAACTGGGAAGGGCCTTACAAGATAACCGGTCTGGCGGGCAAGGGGGCATACCACTTGGAAGATCTAGAAGGAAAAGGCATACCCCAGCCATGGAATGCGACCAACCTCAAATAGTACTATTTTTAGCATTTTACGTTCTTACGTAATTTTTTGTGGAAAGACTTGCTCTCCCTATACTTCTGAATGTAACACGCTTTTTGTCAGTGACTTGTCTTTGCTAGCATTCTGTTGTTTTCAATGCATACTTTAAGATTTAAACCGAGATGTTCTACTCCGGTTAAATCAGTTGATGATTTGCTCAACTGTGGCTTAAACCGAGATGTTTTACTCCGGTTGAACGAGTTGATGATTTACTCAGCTTAAATTGAGATGCTTTACTCTGGTTAAGCGAGTTGATGATTTGCTCAACTCTATGATCTTAACCGAGATGTTTTACTCCAGTTAAATAAGTTGATGATTTGCTCAACTCTGTGATTTAAACCGAGATGTTTTATTCCAGTTGAATGGGTTAATGATTTACTCAGCTTAAACCGAGATGTTTTACTCCGGTTAAGCGAGTTGATGACTTGCTCAACTCTATGATCATAACCGAGATGTTTTACTCCGGTTAATTGAGTTGATGATTTGCTCAACTCTGTGATTTAAACCGAGATGTTTTATTCCGGTTAAGCGAGTTGATGATTTGCTCAACTCTATGATTTAGACCGAGATGATTTTGCTCTGGTTAAATTTTTATCAACCGAGATGGTTTATCTCGGTTATATGAGTTGATAATTTTCTCAAGGATGAGTTGATGATTTGCTAAGCCAAGGTGCTTTACCCCAGCTGAAGTTGTTTAGTTTAAACACCGTGCAAACACTTAATGAAATCAGAACTTTTCATTGATCTACAGAATTACATACGATGGGGCTGGCAGCCCGGTTACATTCTTAAAAACGAAGAAGAAAAAGACAAAAAACTAAACTAAGGGGGACAAGTCAGCAAATTCGTCCCCGGTAGCAGTAGCCTCCAAGTCGACCGTGGTTGTTTTTTCCTGGACTCCGGTCACCACTTGGCCGGTCTGCTTTGGGCAGTTACCTCCCTCGGCGCTTTCCTCAGCTTCCTCCTCGTCATCTTCCTCGGTCTCAGCCTGCAATGCGCTGAAGACGTCGTTGGCGTATGGTACCATGTATGTCGAAAGGAAGGCAGCTGGGGGAGAGGCAAACACGTCGGTTCTAGATCCTTGGCCGAGCTGTTCGCAAGCAGCCTTCCAGCCAGCCTTGAAGAAAATATCTTGGGTGGCATGGACTTGCTTCGTGTAGTTCTCCTCGGCCTCCTTGAAACTTGCGTTGTTCGCTTTATCTAGCTTATCCTTCTTTGAATTTTTCAACGCCTCTAGCTCGGCCCGGAGAGCATCCCTCTCTTGCTTGGCGGCTCCAAGCTGGCCGAGCAATCTGGAGTTGTCAGAGTTTGCAATCTCCAAAGAAGCTCTTGATCACCCCATCTCGGTTTGAAGGTGCTCAACCTGGCTGACAGCATTAGTTGCCTTCTGCCGGAGTCTATGAATCCGCTCTATGACCAGATGTTGTTTCTGGATGGCCTACAAAGAAGAGTTTTGATTAAACAAGGGAAACCGAGCAAACACTTGGAAAAATTTGAATAACAAGTTCGAGATTCTTACCCGAGTCATAGACTTGACCGAGTACTTCACTAGTCGGGAGTCAAGCACGTGGTCGCTGCCGACCATATCGCTCGGCAGAAGCAAGGCTTTGGTTAGGTCAAAGGCGAGTACATGTTCCTTGTCCCCTTTAACCGATGCAGTGACCGGGATCTCTTTCCCCCGGTGCTTCAGTTGGGGCTTCCATGGTGGTGTTGGGTCAGTTGTGACCGCCGATTGCTTGGTGTTTAACTCCGCAACTGGCTCGGCAGAGGGATCGGCGGTGCAAGGCCTTTTCCTAGCCCGGCGGTTATCTTTGCTTGTCTGCATGGCGGCTGGTGACACCAGTGCAACCACGGTCCCGCTCGATTGACTGGCAGCGGCTGTGCGGGAGGGGATGCTCGGTATCTTGGTGGATGTGGCGGTGATGAGATTTTTGATACGGCTTCGTTTGGCCATCTCCTTTGCCTCGGTCAGCCGGATGAGGGGCACGTCAGGTAATGTGGGGTCAGGAGGTGGCGACGGCGCTCGAAGGAAGTCTGTCACTCTACTTTGGCGTGGAGCAGAGTATCGGTAGGTCGGTACGTAGCCGAGAAGTTCGTGATAATCTCGGTTTCACTACCGCAGCACGGTTCTGATGGCTGCTTCGTTAGGATAATGGTAGTTGGCTTGCAAAGCCTTAATTGCTGCAAAAGAAGAAAAGATATTAAGTACGGAATTTAGAAAGGAAGAAATTTGACCGAGCAGTTAGTACGGCTTACATGTTTCACCATAGTTTTTGCTTATATACTAGCCCGGCACGTCGGCCGTTTCATAATTACCAGACACCCAAAAAAAGTCGTCGTCGTGCATGTTTTTGTCTGGGGTGCCGGTCACTATCTTTTCCTTGCCCGGTCTGATCTTTAAATAATAGGCAAGGCCGTCGCCCGTATGCCCGAGGGTATACTGGCGAAGTATTTCGGCTAATCCTAGGTTAGTTCCTAGCTGGTTGTTCAGTTCGTGGATCCCGTTAATTATCCTGTAAGTGTTGGTTGAGACTTGGGTTGGTGCTAGGCCGGTGCGCCGTAAGAACTCGCGCAATAGGGGGTTAACCGGGAAGCGGAGACCATCTTCTATTATAGAGAGCATGATGAAAGGGCACTGGTCTAGTCTGCCCCAGGGGGTTGTTTCCTCCGCACCGAGCACGAGATGTACGTTGGTTGGGATACCGTATTCTTCCCGGAACGCGGCTAGAGCGACCGACGTGTCGACCAGGAAACGATAGCGCCCCATGTGTAGCCGGCTGGTTTTAGCACGGCTGTGTTGGTTTGGCACAAACTCTTGTTTGGCGGCTGCTCGGTCTTTGAGAGCCTCAGTGTTGGTGCATGGTCCCCTTGGACTCTGCAGGAAAAGGAGGGTAAGTGTAAATGGAAGTGCGGTCGCGCAAACGAGCTTGACTTTAGCTCAGTCAGGTGGAGTGCCAGACCACCCCGGTCATGACGGTAAATCCAGAAGCTCGGCCGCTCAAGCGGACCAGATGTTAGCCCGGTCAAGCGGTTAAACCCTCTACCTACCTCGGTTCCTACAGGAGTTTTTTACAAACTCGCAATTTGCTCAGTTTAGATGTTTTTTGGGATCAAAAGAAGACCTGGAGCCCGGTCCGCCCCAGATCTTCATGTGTTCATCACTGGAGCTGAAGAACAACAAGGAGAACAAGGGGCATGGGAGGTTTTTGGGAGCTATATCCTAAAACCTATTACTTTTGTGCCTTAAGATGTGAAATACCAAAGGAAAAAACAATAAAGGGGTTCGAAGAACTTACCAGAATGAGGGCGAGAGTCCAATCTTCGAGCACAAACCCAGGTGAGAGCAAGAATGGTGTTTGAGTTGGGAGGTTGGCACTGCAGCTTTGGGACGACAGGAATGAAAGAGAGACAGTAGGAAGAAACTGAAGGGAGATGTGGCGTGTTTGTAGGAGAAAAGAACCGCCTAAATTTGAATCTGAAGAGACGGCTGGGTTGGCTTCTAGAGGCCAATAAATGGTCGACGCGCGTCCCTATTGACGGCGACGTCAGTATTGAAGAGACAGGTGGCGAGATGAGGCGTCAACCGAGCAAGCTTAGAAACCGAGCGTTGAGATTAGCGCGGTTTAAGTCTTGCGAACTAAGAATTGAGGTAGGATCTACCCCGGTCGGATCATTTAATCCCGGTCACGCTTGCGCGGACGGAATTAAGGGGCAATTGTGAGGGAGATTTATAATCTGGCTTTGGGCCGTGGTAGAAGCTGGACGGATAGGACCGAGCATGTTGAGCCAAGCTAATTTGGGCCAGTCCAGAGTGGATTTTGCCCGGTTGAGGCTCGGGCCCCTTGTTTAGGCTGAGCTGACTGAGGCCTCCCTGGTGTTGATCTTGCTCGGTCGAGGCTTAGGCCCGAGGTCCAGGTCCAATGTTTGAACCGAGCTTACTTGGCTGAGATGACCGCCTGCTAACCCGGGTTCCATAGGTCGCACGCGTAGCTCGACAGGAAATGTCTTCTGTTCACCGGCTGACCTGTTTTGAACTCGGCTCTACCGGAATGCTTCCGAGCTCGGCTGTTATGGAGCTCGGCGAGCGGAGCACTCAGGCACGTTGCGCAGCACGGTCATGGGAAGCCAAGGTGATACCGCCGGGATGCCGAGCTCCTGCTAATGTAGTCTGGTGGTATGGTTAGGTGGTGATTGCTGGATTTGTGTTGACAGATGGGAAAGCAGCTCCACGTGTCAAGAGGCCAGTGGGAGTAGATTTGAGCACAGAAAGTATATAAGTAAGACTGCGCCCCTCATGCTGAGGATGGAACATAATTTGGTGAGAAAAATCTAAACACTCATGTCAAGACTGCACCCCCCATGTTGAGAATGGAACATAATTTGGTGAGAAAAACCTAAACACTCAAGTCTCTCCTCTCTCTCTCTCTCTCTCTCTCTATCCCTGAGTGTGTGCTAACTTGACCATCGGAGGGGTTTTCCGGCCACACACCGCCGGGTAGCTCACCGTCGATGTGTTCGCAGGTCGATCGGACAGACGAGGAGCTTGGATGAAAGGAGTACGGGCACTGCGGAATATTTGCTCCCCGTACAGATACCAAGATTAGTGGACAAATTGCCAATTGATTCTAGTAACACCCCTCCAAAGTTGTTGGAGTGCAGCCCCAAAAAGTTCAAATTGGTGGCATTAGACAATGAGCTAAGAAAATTCGAGTCACCAGTTTCCCCTGTTCCAAGATGATTGTATTCATAAGTTTAACCACAAAAGATTGTGCATCATTCCCAAAGGAGGCACTCTTCGAATAAATTTATTTTCTGCCAAGTCAAGGTGATACAGGTTGGTTGCATTTGATATTGAAATAGGAATGGGTCCAGTAAACAAGTTAATTCCAACTAAAAACCATTGAAGAGTTGGGAAAGAAATTCCAAGATCTAAGGGAAGTCTCCCTTGAACTTGGTTCATAGCTATATCAAAAATTGTGATAGAAGAGAGATTAAAGATTGAGGAAGGAATAGTACCAACCAACTTGTTCTCTCCCAATGCAAGAGAGTTTAAGTTTGTCAATTGGCCCAGGGCTTCAGGTATACTCTCATTGATATTATTGACACTTGCATCGAAATCAATAAGGGATGACAGATTCCCAAAAGTACAAGGAAGGCCACCTGTCAGATTGTTTGTTCGAAAGAACAACTGCATGAGCTTAGACATAGAACCAAGCTCCACGGGAATTTTCCCAGCCAGACTATTGCCAGTAAGCTCAAGGACAAGAAGGTTAGAGCAAGCAGATATATTGGCAAGAATTTCACCACCAATAGAATTCTTGTGTAGTGTCAATATCTGCAATCTCCGTAGATGGCCAAGTTCAGGGGGGATTTGATGAGTGACGCTATTGTTACGCAACCACAGTTCCCTAAGAAAGCTCAGATTTCCAATGTGAGGCAAAATTGAGCCTATCAATTTTCGATGATCCAGGTTCAACTTAGTCACCCTCTGGTGTCGTCGGCCACATGTTGTGCCAGCCCATTGACAGGAGTGGATGGATTCATTCCACGAGTTTAGAGCCACGAAGGGATCACCAGTTATTTCGTCATTGAATGCGAGCAAGGCTAGCTGATCCGTCTCATTCCCGGCTACATGAACATGATGACGATGAGTGCTAGAGCCTGAACCACCCAAACACGAACACCCCATGAGAACAAAAACAATAACAACAACAACAACATGCATGAACTGAAACAGAGTCCATGACATTGACGACACTAATATTAAACCCATATTGAGGATTGGACGCTCTCATTGAATTTGAGAGAGCATCCATCCCTATATATAAAGCACGAATACCTGCAGACGAAAATAATATTTCTGTCCATTTTAAGAGATAGGGGTGCTGTGTAGCATAATATTTCTCAAAATAAGTATCGGTAATAGTATTATAAGGCAAAATAACTAAAATTAATAAATGCAAAACTATAAGGCTGCGTTTAGAATTTTTTTTTTAAATGTGTTTGGTTTCTTTTATGTTGGGGATTTAATTTGAGAGAGTATATTGGGCATAGTGGGCCCATTGTGAGCCAAATCTCTCTGATACAAATTGTTCACTTTTTAGTACACATTGATAAGAATATTTATATAAAAAAATCAAAATGATTGGATTTCGATAGTTATATGTTTGAATCCCATTTATGTTTGAATTTTTATGGTGTTAATTTTGTTTTAAAGTTTTTTTTTTTTCTTTACCACAACGATTTTTTTTCTTCTCTTGGTTTAGATAGCACTTATATTTATAGTTTACATTGATTTCTTTACCTTATCTTATGGTTTACATTTTTAATAAGTTAAAATTTAATATCAAAATTGGGGTTTTGACTCCTCTACTACAAATGGATATTGATATAAATAAATAAATAAAAAGTTTTCAATAATTGTTTTAAATATTTTAAGAAAAAAATTCATTTTACTCATTTGTGGTTTAAGCCATGAGCACTTTATTCTTCTATGATTCAAATATTATCAGAAAGTGTCCATATGATTTAGGACCAAAGTACAATTGTTAACTTCCTTAACTATAATTGTGAAATGGCTAAAATACCCTCCAACCCCATCCTTCTCCCCTCCCCCCCTTTTTCTCTCATCTCACATACACATAATTTAACAATAATTCAGTTAATCATAAATTCTTAATTATTTATTATAATTCCTCTTTTTAATCTAATTTTAATTTAGTTATATTTTAAATCAATCCTTAATTATTATTTATTTTATATTTTAAATCAATCCTTAATTATTATTTATTTTATATTTTAAATTAACTTTTAATTATATTTTATATTTTACATCAATCTTTAATTGTATTTTATTTCTATTATCATCTTAATCTCATTTTACGTTTGTTTTCTTAATTTCAATTTATATTTTCAGAAAATTAAGTCCGCTCTACAAAATAATGAGTGTGATACACCTTTTATTAGTTTGGATGAAAAAATTAATAGTATCACTTTAGTCCAAAACTATATGGGGACTTTCTAACTATATTTAAATCATAAAGGGGACTTTCTAGCTATATTTGAATTATAACGTGGTAAAATAGTCTCAAATCACAGGGGTAATAAGAATTTTGCCCATGTTTTTAAATTTGTAAATGATTTCTAGCTCAACAAATGAATATGTTCAAAAAAACTAATATTTAAAAAAAATGAGTTTGATTATTTATAATTTATATTTAAACTAATTTTTAACTCAACTAATATTCTTTTATTTTAAATTGATTTTTTCAATTGAGTTGTGACCAATAGTTTTTACTCCTAAATTTTGAATGTTTAAAAGACCTTACAAATAGAATTTCTTTTTTTTTTTTTAAAAAAAAAAAAAATTGATGTTTAGTTTGGAAATAGACTATTTTAGTAATTTTTGACTAAAATATGAGGTGGAAAAATTGGTCGTGTTTAATTTCGTAAAAAAATGTTAAAAGTTGTTAAAGTATCCATAGAAAAATTTGGTTTGTGGAAAAACTGGTCATGTTTGATTGTTTTTTTTATGGTTTGTGGAAAAATTGGTCGTGCTTGATTTCGTTAAAAAAATATTAAAATTTGTTAAAGTATCCATGGATTCACTACAACAAAATACATCTTTGGCAATTAAAATTGGTGACTAAAACAAATTTAGTCGCCAAAAGTTTTAGAATTGGCGACTAAAACTTTTTTTTGGTTGCCAAAAGCATAATATTTAGCTATTAAATTTTTTTAGTTGGGATATATTGATTATTGGCGACTAAAAAATAATATAGTCGCTAAAAATACTAGAATTGGCGACAAAAAAAAAAATTTAGTCGCCGTATATTGAGTTTTGGCTACTAAAATATTTAGTCGCCGAATGTAAAATTAAAAATTTATTTTTTGTCTTTGGCGATCAAAAGTTAAGTCGCCAAAATATATTTTCAACGATCAAAAATTAGTTTAGTCGTCGTATTTAGGTATTGGCTACTAAAATATTTAGTCGCCAAATGTAAAATTTAAAAAAAAAAATTATCTTTAACGATAAAAAATTTAGTCGCCAAAACAAATTTTTAGTGACCAAAAATTAGTTTAGTCACCAAAAAATAAAAAAAAATTAGAGAGAGACATTTTTAATTTAAATTTGAGGAATTTATATTAAAAAATTTAGTGGCTAATGGTGTTATATATATATTTGGTTTCCAAAACTTTACCAGCGCCTCTCTCTCTCTCTCTCTCTCTCTTCAGCGTCTCTCTATATCTCCGGTGCTCCTCTCCCTCCCCTCGCGGTTGCCGGGAACCGGAGCATCGATTCCTACTCCTTTTGGTCACCGTCACCTGAGATCCATGATGAGTTCATGAACACCGATTCGGAACCAAGATCCAGAACAACTCCGAGCCAAGATAGAATATCTCAACTCCAAAGTCTCCTTCTACTATTGAAGAGAGAGAGAGACTAGTTGAAGTTGAAAATCATAGACCCATCTCCAAAACCCAACTTTTTAAACTTCAAATCCACTCTTTTGCCTCCTCCACCAGGTAAAAATTCATTTTTTTTCTATGTATCTTCGTTTCTTTTCTCTGATACTCTTAGTATTTCCACGAATTTCAATGCCAACATGTCTTTTTTCTTTACTTTTCTTTCATTTTTGTTTTGTGTAGTTCGCAATTGAAGAAATTATTATCTTTGAAATAGTTAATAAAGTACTCAAGCATTTGAATATAGGTTGAGAAATAAGAATTAAGTTTTTATGGTTTTTTGTGCTGTTGAAGAATGGGAATATATGTTGCGCCAAAGATGTTTGACAAATTGCCTGACCCAGTTTTGAACTTTTAAAGATTCAACAGGAATTAGTTCTTTTTAATCTTTCTTTTCTTGGTTTGACATTTTGCCTGGGCGGCCTTTTCTAATGAATTAGTGAATTTGAAGTGTTAGGTTTATTGTTCAAAGCTCACTCAAAACATATGATTATTCAAGTTCATCCTCCTTGCAAACAACTGGGTTGCTCATTTTTCAATCCCATTATCTACTTCCTGTGTCAAGGAAGTCATTCTGCATTATAACATTTTTTAACATACTTAAATGAGGATCCATCAATAATACTTATTTGGGCAATGGAAAGGCTTCTGTTGATATTGTAACTTCACTTGTCTATGATGAGGATTAGCTCAAAGTTAGGGATAGGGAAGACGCAGATGGGTCAGTGAAGTGGTTTGTAGCTTTTTGTGTTCGATAAAGTTTCGTTTCAATGAATGTCATTTTGTTAGGAGCCAAAATGCTTGTATACAAAGTAGTTCTTTTTGTTTTGTCAGATCCTTGTTGCAAAATTCATACCATTCCAAGAACTAAGATTTAAGGTACAAATCTATGGTCTTTTGTAACTTGTGTTCTTTCCACTGGGTATTTTGGCAACTGGGACCTATTTTGGCAACTGGGTATTTTTTCCCAACGTGAGGTCACTGGATTTTATCCTGCCCTTCTTGAGAGGAAAAATGAGCTAGAAGCGGAGATTCGGGAATTTTTTACAGATGAAGTGACGATGAAATTTGAGTCTGAAAATTACACGTTTGATGTTTATGTTAGAAAGGATGGGCAGGTTAAGCTTTTGGATTTTAACCCTTGGGGTGCATTTACACTGCCACTGCTGTTTACATGGGAGGAATTGGAGCAAAATTTTAATGAAAATGGTAATACTTTGGAGTTTCGAATAGTAGAGAGCCAGTGTGGAGTACAGCCCGGATTAAAAACTGCAGTTCCTTACGATTACTTAGACACCAGTCCAGGGAGTGGTTGGGATCAATTCCTGAGGAATGCTGATGAGGAGTTGCAACTCTAGATTCAGTCCTCTGGCAAAGGTGATTAAGGATTTTGTTTTCCCCATTTCTGAGGTTAGTGTGACAGTTATTATATGTCAAATATTAGCTAAATATTTCATGTGCCTGTCGATTTTGTGTTTGTACAAAACCTTCTACTATTGCACTTCTATCTCATGACTGTCGATTTTGTGTTTGTACAAAACCTTCTACTATTGCACTTCTATCTCATGACCACTTTCTTCTTCATCTTTTTTTCCTGTTCTTTTATAATTGCTTAATGTGATGGATTTTCTATATATATATATACAAAATAATAAATAAAAAACGGTCTTTTGCTCATCTGACTCAAGTTTGCCTTGTCCTATGCTCTTTGGTGTTGTCTCACAAAAGTTTCAGGAGAACCTATTGTAATTTTGTGTGATGATCACTTTGCTATAATCTTGGGTTTGCTAGTTGATGGTTATGAAAAGTGATAGATCAATTTCAGTGATCCTGTCTATGTTGCAGATTTTATGTTCATTTGTCATTGTCAGCATGATAGAATCAGATCTAACCTCTCAGTAGAAGGAAGATATGTATGTATAGGGTTCTACATTGTGTTGCAAGAATGTGTTTGTTCAGATGGATTAAAAGTTATTAGAATTCTAGAAAATTTGGGTTAAAAAAAGTTTATGCTTGATTGAATTAGCTAGTGTTTCACATAAAGACCATCTTAAATAACTCTCCAAAAATCTCGTCCTCTCCGAGACCAGTAATTGAAAACTTGGAAACTTGATTTTATTTTGCTTGATTGCATTAATGAATAATTCACACAGATCATCTCAAACATCCAATAAACTCTTTTCAGTTCCAGTATAATCCATATCCTTGGATAATCCAAATCCTCTAAAGTTACATATTGCTGTATTTTATAGAGTAAATTATCTGTTGGTTTAGATAACAATTTACACTATAATTCATTATAAGTGTATATACCTATGTATTTATTTCTTCATTTCCAATCTTAAGCTTATCCCGTGCACAATTATTAACCAATAAAAAACTTACTTTGTAAGTTACTGCACAAATTAACCATAGAAGAGTCAGACTCCTCGGATGGGGTACTTACTGGGTCAACTTGTAAGCAAGGTTCAAAAGAGTAGTAGTTAATTAATGCCATTAAGGAGGAAGCTCATCTAATGGATATACCAATCCAGTTAGGCTCTATAAAAATGTTCTGGGCAGCAATCTTTGCATTTACTCGATTTTTACTAGAATACTCACTGATAGTACAGCTGATGTACTTCAAACAGCAAGACAATTACTATGAGGGAATTATTTTGGTGTTTTGGATGAGGAATTCTGATATCTATTCGAGTGTTTTCTGTATCCTGTTTGTGCTAAATCTTGTGGTATTTTTCAAATGAAAGAAAATAATTCTTTGGCCAACAATGACATTAGTTTCTGCATTTGTTTGTTTATCGAAATTCTTGTTCTCTTCTGAATTCTAACATTGTTTGAAACTTGTGATTGATAATGGGAGATTGGTCAGGACTTGGTGCGCACATCAAAAATCAGTGACTTGCTTGACATTTTCCAGCGATAATTCATTTCTTATTTCTGGTTCAGAAGATGGCATGATCATTATTTGGCCTATGATCGGGTAAAAAAAGTGAATCTTCGTTTCTTCAACAATTTAATGTTTGTATTTGAATGTCGTTTAGTTTTATTTTTCAGGAAAAATAAATAACTGACTTTGTAATCACATTGTTTGGTGGAAGTTTGGTAGACGAGATAGATTGTTGGACTGTGACTTTAAAACTAAATTTTTCGTTGGAGCTTTCATCCTCTATAACAGGCCTATTAACTACATCAAGTGGCTCAAGTTTAATATTTTTATCAAGCTCCCTCGATGGCACATGCAAGGTTACTTAATTATGTTAAATGTTTCATAATAATATCTTCCTAGCATGAGTATTTTTGTTTCTCGAAATGACTTATTTTTGTATTGTAGGTATGGAACCTTGTTACTGGAAGACTTTTACAAACTCGAGCTTTTCCACTACCAATTACTGCAATAGTTGTTGATCCAACAAAGAGAAGTTATTTTCTGCTGGTATAGATTACTAGTGGATATTTCTTTTTTGTATACGGAGGACATCATTTTTGTATGATTATCTGCTTGTATGGAATTATTATTTTGGGTTGGATTATATTTGGTTTGTATAGAATTTGATGTTACAAGACCAAATTTTTAGATGGTTGAAAGTGAAATAGAAATAGACATATGTATTGTTTTGTTTATATACAGGGTGCAGGTTGCATGAAATAAATACAGGTTGTGCAGAAATTAATAATAATAAAAAAAAAAAAAAATAACACTAAATAAAGTTTTTTGTGACTAAATGTTTAGTAGCCAAAAAAATAAAATAAAACTTGTTGGCTACTAAAAATTTAGTAGCAAAAAACATTTCAAAGATTTTTTGGCGACTAAAAATTTAGTAGTAAAAAATATATGAGACTTTAGGCGACTAAATAGTTTAGTAGCTAAAAAAAGAAATATGAAAATTAATTTTTTTTGGCGACTAAATATTTAGCAGTTAATAATAAATGATACTTTGGGCGACTAGAAGTTTTAGTCGTTGAAAATGAAAATTAATTTTATTTGAAAACTTTTGGGGAGTCGCCAATTTATGACTTTTGGTTACTAAAAAATATTTAGTCGCCAATACCTCGTACTTTTCCCTACTAAAACACTAGTAGCCATTTATAGGACTTTTTAGTCACCAAAACCTTCCTCGACCGTTTTCCCGAGACAAATCTAGCGACCAAAATATTTAGTCGGGAAAAGGCTTCGGCGACTAAAAACCTTACTTTTGGCGACTAAAATTTTAGTCACCAAAAGTGCATTTTCTTGTAGTGATTTGTTGAGTTGACTTGACTTAAAGTTATATTTAATTGAGGGAGAAATTATTCAGTATTTTTAGAACAATACTCTATTTTATTTATAATTGACACTTAACTATTTATTTCTTAAAATTTCAATACAAAAGTAAATAACTCTCACGGTTTAAATCAATAATAATTTCTCATCGTGGAGGCATCAACCAAAGGTACGACTAATTACTCAAAATATATTAGGGGGAATTGAAAACAATTCTGAAAAACAAAACCAAATGAAAAACAATTCTTTCACCATCTTGTTATCATCCTCCCAAATTTGCCTCTCCTTTTCCCCCACAGTAATGCCAAGTGTTCAAAAAAATTATTCAGAAAAATATTAACAAAAAAAAAAAAGGTGAGTGGAGATTCATTTCAATTATAAATTTTATTATACAAAAACTAAATTTAAGTCACACATCACATTTTGAGATAAATTTATTTTTACATTCCTATCATTGTTATTTTTCACAGCAGATTAACATCAATCGTTCAGTAAAAATATTATAAATTCAAAAATTTTATTTAAAAGTAATTCAAAAATATCAATATATAATTCAAAATCATTTTATAAGTGCGCTGCACAGTATATAAACTGTCAATCTTCACCTAACATCTCATTTTTTACCCAAATCTAAGATAAGATTATAACTTACTGATCGTACAGCGGGCCTAACAAACCATTATGAGATTAAATGAGATTAAATGTGTTATGACATACATCTTCTTGTTATGAAAATATACAAATTTAAAAGTTATAATTAAGACAAAATACAATTTTATTATTAAATGCAAAGTGAAGTGATATTTAACAATAATTAATATGATGTTTCTATTATTAATCCAATAATTTAAGTTACATTTTTTTAAAATTTCAATTTCATAACTAAAAATACAATATGAATATAATATACATACGGATTTCTAATCTTTAAGAATATGAAGGTTTCAAAATATTTTTCAACTTTCATCATTTTCTTTTAATTTTTTTTAATCTAATTTGATTTTAAATTTGAATAAAAATTTTGATTTGATATGAATTACTGTAACTTTTTCATTAAATTTTTTATCAATTTTTAAAAAAACTTTCATTCTTATCCCATTTTTTTTTCTTTTCACCAGTTTTGATGGAAAAAACAATAATTTTCAACGTTTCATCTTTTTGAGTTTTTATCTAATTATAATTTGATAAAAACAAATATTAAGAGTTGAAGATTCTCTTAATTGGAATTATAGTGAAATAACATCTTGAAATAGCTAAAGTTTGAATATGTGGTTGGTTGAAATGTATAATTTAATTAATTCTCTTCTCATATTTGTACAAAAATTGACACTTATGACTACATCATTATAAGTCAAATTATGAAAAAAAAAAAAAAATTGAGGTGTCAAACATTTTCCATTTGTAAATATCCTACATATTAAAAAAAAAAAGAAGAAAAAAAAACAAATGTGTAGCTTTTGGATATGTGTTTATCAGTTTTGTTTTATGGATATAAAAAATTGATGTTTCAATTTAAAAAATTAAAAAGTAAAAAAAAAATAGATGGGTTTTTTAAAGATAAAAGAAGCTATCTAGTTCTTCTATATACTATTTAAAATGGGCTATTTAATCACATAAAAAAATAGAAATTATATTTAGCGATTATCCCTATATATTGTGCTATTATATACAACTATAGTTGTAACAAATTAACTATAATATATATGTAAAGTTATATTAAGCTTTCATTTTCAATTAATTGAATTATAATTAACAAGCTAACAAATAGAAATAATGGTATAATGGGATAAAAGGAGGATAATAATAAAGAACACAATGATATTTAAATTTTTTAAATTTACCAAGTTATACAAAAATATAATGTTATAGTAAAATCTTGAATTCTCAATAAATTTTCACATTTTCTATAAAATAAAATGACAATAAAAAATAAAAAATTTGATACCCATTTTTTTTACTTCAATTTTATGATTTTTATTGAAGAAAACAAAATCCGATCAAAATCTTTGGTATAGAACGGATATAGATACTTTGATTGCAACTATGATCACCAATAATTCTTCTCCACCATGCAAACCTGTAAACAAACACAAACCAAAACCAAAACCAAACTAACAGCAGAGAAAGAGAATCATACATAAAAAAATAAAATTAAAAAACAAATAAATGGAGTGGGAGAATGTTACCTCCAACAACTTAGACCTCACCTAACCCAATCCATTATCTCCTCCACCAATGCCCGTGAAGTCTAGGTGATGGGATGACTAATCAGATTATTCTTCAAATAAGACTTGAAAATTGATTAATTTGTCTCATTAAGTGGTTTAAAATTTTGACAGATATACATCAGAAAAATAGATAATTATAATACTAAATCGTAATTCAAATTTAGATATTGTCATATTTTTTTGAGATCCATATATAAATTCTTATCTTTTTTTTTTTTTTTTGTTTTTTTGGTGTGGTTTCTATTTAGTTTTTTTTTTTTTAAATTTATTTAAGATGGAGTTGTGGTATAGCGATTCCGGTTTTGACCCGACTCTTGTGGTTGTCCGAACTCGGGTTTATGGTTTCTGAATGTTGTTCATTGTCTTTTCCTCTTTATTCCTCCTTAAATTTGGTTGTTTGGACGTGCTGAGTGTATTTGGAACAGGTCGGTTGCTTGGTTTTCAAACCTTGCGTTGCCTAGAATTTTGATCCTCCACTTGAGCGACCTTTCTTGCGCTCGAGCGGAATTTGCAAACTCTTAGTACTTTGCACATCTGCAAAAGTACTAGAGGGGTGTTTTCCACTCTTGAGCGGCGTTTCCTACGCTTGAGCGGGTGGGCGCTCGAGCGTCCCTTCTTACGCTCGAGCAATTTTGTTTGTTGTCTACAAAAGTACTGGAGGTGTGTACTCTGCGCTCGAGCGGGACTTCTTGCCTCAAGCGAAACAACTTGTTGTGTCTGACACTCGAGCATCAACTCTTGCGCTCAAGCGGACTGTGCGTATATCAGATCGCGAAAATGACTTTTTACGTCACTTTTTCAAATCTTTTCATCCTAAACCCCAAAGTTGAGACCCTCTTTCTCTAAAACACTCTCTCTTTATATATTTACACCTAGATCTAGTGTTCTCTACACCCATGTGCCTTTATCAAAAAAAGAGTTTGCCTCAAGAGCTTTCTTTTGGTTTGATTGAAGTTTGATTTCGACGTCTTTGAAGATCCTTCGTCTCTTCCTTTGCTTTTCTAAGCTCGAGATAGGGATATTCTACACCTTAATATGATTTTCAGTCTAGTTATTTGTTTTTATGTATAAATGGTGGAATATTGGAGATATTTGTGGATGAACCTAGGATTTGGGTGTGAAATGAAAGGGGGGTTTTCAAATGTAATTGGTAAAAATGGTTTGGGTGTAGATGTAAAGGTTTGCTGTTGAAAAAGGGTTGATTTGAACACTTGAGTTAATATTTGGATAAATAGGAGTTGTGCCCTAGATGGGTCAATTTGTATTTTGTATAAATGAACAAAAGTGATTATGGTGGCATGGAATTGGATAGTTGTTGATATAATGGTGGAGTCAGATACGCGTTATCTCGCTCCTATGAAAATTTGAATAAATTATCTGTCTTGAGATTGAATATCTATTTAGAAATAGCTGTATTGGGCTATCGGTGGAGGATAGCTATGATTGTTATAGAAATTGCACGAGGATTAGGTGAATTGAAACTAATCATTTAATTGGTGTCATTGAACATGACTGTACTTTAAATACATGGTATATGTATAATGTTTTGGGTGGAGAAAATGGATGTACTCCATGTTTTGGGAGGAGATAGGGGATGAACTCCATTGAAATTATGTTGGTCAGAGTGTCCAGGGTGAAAGTCCCGAAATCATGTGTATACATGGGTGCCGATCTTGCGGACAAAATTTTCGTAAAATAGCAAGATTGAAGTGCTTGTATGATGTTTGTGTTGATTGAGAACCATTGAGTTGTAGTCTCAATGGGGTTATTCGGAGAATTATAAACTTGGCCCATGAATTGAAATGAAATGTATAGTGATTCCGGTTTTGACCCGACCTTTATTGTATTTCGAACTCGGATTTCGTGGCTTAGTATCGTTATTCATGTCTCTCTCCTTTCCCTATTTTTCCTTTCCTATTTGATATTGGAATGTCTTGGGCATGTTTAGGACAGGTTGGGTGCTAGTTGTTCAAGTTATTGTTGCCTAGATTTTGGCTTCTTCGCTCGAGCAAAGCTTCTTGTGCTCGAGCGAACTTTGTGAGTTTCCAGCATTTTTGTAGACTTGCAGAGATTCTTCGCTCGAGCGACGGTGTGCATTTGTAAAACTTCTGAAGGTGTATATTCTACGCTTG